AAAATGGCAGTACTGTCGCAGTTCCCCAAATACAAATCATGTTGGAAAATATTTGGAGTTTTATACAAGAAGGCCAGAGGCCGGTATGATGCCTTAGGCTTTAGAATTTTCTATCAGTGGCAATATGTCTGCTAAAAAAATCCCTATCTAGTTATTATGTGAGATTTATCTATGCCTTCATTCTAAACATAAAGGCCTATATCTCCCAGCAAAAATCTTTGTCAATTTGACTCTTCTTTGTCAATTGACCTGATTCCCAAACTGAGATAATAGTAGGCTCCCTGCCCCCTCTGCTCATTGTCAAACCCATCTTGTCTTCACGTCCAGTGGAATCAAGGCAGCCACACTCCGTGCCCAACAGTCTGGTCCCTCCCTCCCTCCCCAAATTCAGACCCCACTTTATGTGGAAAATACATGCTATTTACCCCTGGCAGGCTCAGATCCTGTCTTGAAATAAAGAGAAAAAGGAACCACAGGGGAGTGACTCCAACCCAAACTGTGCATCCTGACTTGGAGCAAACGTTCTTCCTTGTCTTCACTTATTAACTTGGGGAGACACCGAGAGCTCCCCAGGACGGGCTGGGGGTTTGCAAACATTCCTGCCCAAAGCCCCGCAAAGCCGGGAGTACCCCAGCAGCCTAGAACTCCCTCTGCCTGCCCCCCCCCCAACCTGTGCCGGCTGCCCTCGGTTTCCCAGAGCCACGCGACCCACGGCGCGGGGAGGAGCCTGTGATGTCCGGCGCCTTCCAGAGAACAGGATGCAGATGCATGGGGGAGGTGACCCAAGAGCAGCCCGGGAAGACGAGGCTGTCCTGGAGTTCAACATGTAAATTAAAAACCACAATTTAGAACTTGAAGGAAAGTACTGACACTTCTCTCTTTCCCAGAATGAGAGGGGTGGGCGGTGTGGCCACCGCGTGAGAGGCAGGATCACATATCCAGGACCTGCTGAACCTGGGCCCGCCAGGCACACGCTGCCACCTGGGATTCAAATGTCACATTCAGCGACGGCTGCTGGCCTCGGGCCTCGGGGCTGGCAGGTGCTTGTGAGGACGGGAAGCAGGGCCAGGGGGATGTCCTGCCCAGTGTCCTCTGCCAGGACACAGGGAGCGACTCAGACCACGGGCCCAGGTGATGTGAGGATCCAGGGGTGCACATCTATCCTTGGATCATTCTGGAATACACCATGGGCACAATCCATGGATACAAGGTGCTTCCTGCTTCGGCTCCGCCTCGGCTTCCAGGCCCCCTGGACTCGTGCCCTTGGGAGTCTGGCCTTAGAGAGCCTTGTCCCTCCCCTGCTGCCGCGGAAGCAGCTCGGGCACCCACACGTGGGGCCCTGTGAAGTGTGCAGTCAGAGCTCGCTGGCGGAGAGCAGGCGCCAAGGCCGTCCTGGGGGAGGGGAAGTGTTGGCCAAACCACCTCGTAAGCAATCAAACCCGGCTTCCCACGCAAGGCCCGGCCCTGAGACCCCGAGAGACCCACAAGTCAGATGCCCAGAAGCCCAGAAGGCGTGGTGGGCCCTGCAGCCAGAACGGACGTGCACAGAACGCAGGGGTGTCAGTCTGCGGGCACCTTGGGGACTGCGGGGCCGAGAGACTGGCGGCCTTCATGGGGAGGTGAACACCAAGCTGAGTCTTGAAGGATGAAGAGGATAGAAGCTGGCCTCTTGGGGCCAGGGGAGCAGCGTGGTGGCCAGGGCAGGGAAGGGGACAGGGGATGGCCAGGGCCCCTGGCCGAGGTGGGGGGAGCGGTGATGACAGAGCAGCTGGGGTGGGCTGGAGGGGTGGGGATCCCAGGCAGAGGGGACTCTTTGGAAACGCCAAGGAGGTTTCGACTGGTGACTGCCTGAGCTGGCGAGCAGCAGGCGGGCAGGGCGGGCAGTTTGTCATGTGTAGGGGCCTGGCTGGTGGCCTCTGAGTGCAGCTGACACTGTCTGATGAGCACGGAATGCCACCGACCGCATCTGACCTCTAGCTGCACAGCATCCGCTGGTACCGGGCGGCCACTGGAGTCATCGCCTCCTTACTGGGAATCGTCTGCTGCCCAAGGGTTATATGCGGTCTTTAAAGCCTGAGCTGGACCCCTCCCCGCTCACCACACTTCCCGCTGGGGCCCCCAAAGCACGGCCCTGGGCCAGAGGGAAGCCGCACGATGCCAGCTCACAGGTGTGCCTTGTGGGCCCGTCCAGCCTCCCCGTTCTGACCCTTTCTCCCCCTCAGAGCTGTCCCTTTACTCTGGTCCCCAAAGGCCCCACACTCTTTCCTTCTTCCCAGAGTCACAGATGGAAATCTGGAGGGAACCTAGACGGCAATCTCTTAGTCCAGGGCGCCCAAACTTTTCCTGTAAAACGCAAGTGAAAGTTTCCTGCTTGGCCAGCCTTGGGGTGTTTTGCAACTGCTCAGCTCTGCTGTTGTAGTCCCAAAGCAGCCACAGATAGTGGCAAGTGAGTGGGCGTGGCTGTGTCCCAATAAAGCTTTATTTACAAAACCAAGCAGTGGGCCAGGTTCCCATTTTGTCTGATGCACCCATTTTTCAGATGACGAAGTTGAGCCCCAGAAAGACAAACTGACTTGCTCAGTGCTGCACAGCTACTGGGACCAGTCTAGGACCCAGGGGACCAGCTCCTCAATCTTAAATCCTCCTTGCACTGCTCACTGAGCTCCTTCCTCCTGGCAAAGCTGGGGCCCAGAAAAGACTACTAATCTTAGGGACTCAGGGATCTGGAAGTCCAATAGAACTTGCTGGGATGCTTGTACGTTCACGGAGGTAGGGAAAATAAAAACAGATGAAGGACTTTAGTATTTTTTTTTTTTTTTTGTAAAGGTGCGTTCATGCAAATAAACTTTCAATCCCAGCGGTCAGCTACTGGCACTTCACACTGGTGAGGTTCGCCTGGGCAGTGGTGCCTGAGACTACTTAGTTATAATTAATCTTTCCTCCGGGCCTTGCCCACCTGCTAAATGGCCCAATCCGTCTCACTACTGAAGTCAGCTGCTCGGCGTGGCCGTGAGGAAGCCCGTGAGCGCAGACCTGCTTGTCTGCGTGCTGGCCGCCGACCTCCTGGGACCAGGATGTTGATGGACAAAACCCCAGCCCTGAGGACCACAGAGGCACGGGGTTCCCCAAAGTTTCGTTCGTGCTCAGTAGTAAGAGCCTCTTGTAATTGTCACTGCCAACGACAGGTACCATGCCACGACTTCAGAAGGAAGCAAATACCTTAGAAGGGAAAACGTGGGAGTCTGTGATAAACAGGTAATGCACAAACCGTCCAGCGCTACGAAGCTTAACTGTCCTTCCTCTCGGACGTGATCATTTCACGTATTCCGACCACCCTGTCAGCGTGTCAGACTTAAAATATTGCACGTGGAATGATGAAAAATGGCCAACATCTCAGCACCATCTTTTGATTAATGGGTAGTTCCTTAGAGATTGATCGGTTTGTTTGATTTGGTTCCTGGGGGTGACTGATGGCTATTTTAAAAAATACTTAGCTTAGAATTACCCTCCATGAGATAATTTTCACATGCCTTGTGTAGCCGCGTTCGGAATAATTGGACTTTATTGCCTTCCTTCCATGCATGAACTGAGGTTCCCTGGAGAAGCGAAACAGCTTCAGACTTTGTTGCTCTAATATTTCCACGTGGATCAGCTGCTGCATTCATAGAAAGGCTGCGACCAGATGGCCAGCCCGCCTCACGGTGACATTTCCCATTTCCCGTCGATTACTCACCGGCGGAAAATAATGTGACGTGAATTCCCCATTTTGGGCAATATGTGGTTATATCCGTGTTGTACCTGCACTGAAGATAAATGACTTATCAGGCAATGATTTCTCGGCTCTCCAGGGAGAAAATAGGAGAAACAACAGGTCACTGGAGTTTGGCAGGAAAAGGGAATCGTCACTGTTAAGGCATCCAATAAAACATTTAAGTTTCATTTCCTCATTTCTTTTTTTTTCTCTAATTGCTTCTTCTTCTGTTATTCAGAAATTAAAAAAAAAAAAGCCTTATTTTGGCTGCTTAAAACTTTTAAATTCTGGTTTTAGGAAGAGTCCCTGGACACCCTGGTTTCAGTCATGTCGTCCCTAGATGTCCCTTTCCAAAGCAGCAGTTGTCACCCAGAGCTGAGGTGGCATTGGTTAAAAAAAAAAAAAAAGTCTAATTTTATCTTCTGAATGGACTCAGTCACAATTAATTCTCATTCAAAGTCATTTTAAAATTTTTACTTTTTAAAATATTGGTTATTATTTTTCAGTGTTTGGCACGATGTTGCCAATACTCTAAGATCACCCTTGTTTTTCAATTTCTCTGTTTGGTCTCAGCCCTGGAGGTAGATTGCTTTAGCTATCCACTCTCTTCAATCACCGTTAAATTAAGTACGAATAACGACAACTAGCATTTATTCAGCCCTAACACGTGCCAGGCGGTGTGGTAAGAGCAGTCCATGCTTTCAGTCACGTCCTTGTCACCGCCGTCCTGCGGGGCCGGTACTGTCATTGTTGGCATCTTCCGGTTGAGGAAAGTGAGGCTGCCCAGGCCCCACAGCCCCTGAGCAGGATTTGAACTCGAAAATCTGATTCCAAGCTTTTAACCTCCGTGCATCAGGGAAGCCAAGTGTTAGAAAGCTCTTCTTTCTGGAATGTTCTAACTTTTCCCTTCTCAGAAAGAGAGCAGCCAAGTTACTTCCCAGTTTCTGCTCTTCCCCCATGCGGGGCTGCAGGTCTCCGCCCAGCCTGTTCTCGCTAAACAGCTGGGCAGGGGTCCCTTCCCCGGTCAGCAGGTCTTGAGGAATGTGGGTCCCCTGAGCCTTCGATCCACTCAGGAGGCATCTGTCCTTGTCCCGGAGACGGTGATCCACCGTGGGTCCCACGCTGGCTGGTGGCAAGTTGCTTTCGCTCAGTGAAGGAATCTGCACTTGGAGATTGTTGGGAGCAGCAGAAGGTTCTAGAAGCTGCAGAAGATTCTGGAAATAGTGGAAGGTTCTGGAAACAGCTTCCTCCCTCCTCCACCGCAGGCAGAGCCTGCTGCAGAGTGAGCTGCAGCCTTGCCTGGCTCTGCACCAAGCCCGAGGAGAACGCCAGCCAGGCGGGCGCTGACAGCGTGCAGCGTGCAGACGGAGGAGGTCACCTGCCCGGGAGTCTGTCCCGTTAGTAACTCAAACCTTTTATAAACTCATTTGTATTCATCCAGACGGCTGTTTTGGCTAGAAAGAAATGCTTCCTCCTCGCTAGCATTACAAATAATTTGAGCAGAAAGCTACGGGCAAGACATATTAATCATGTTTGAAAGGATGTATCTTTCCATACAAAGGGTTTTCTTAATCTGAAAACTCTTGCCCGGATCGGCACTTCTCTCTGGCGGTGGTTTCTAGCACAGAGAGGGTGCGAGGCTTGCTGTGCTGCTTCCTCTCACAGCCGCCTCCCCTGCAGGTGAAAGCATCAATCTTTATCCCACATATTCGTACTTTGAATCACCGTCCTCCTTAGTAACTTGTGCGACATTCCGAGGAATCTATAATAATTCTTTCTGTAAGGACTCCGTAAAAATTTCCCTTAACCTTTATTTATATTTTGCTAGTCTAAAAAGTTACCCTCCTCTGACACAGGAAATATGAGATATGGACATTTTCTTAAAAATCTTTTCCTTATTCCTTATTAGCATTTGTCAGCCTAAAAATCGGCATTCCCTGACGTGTGAAATAGTAATAACTGTAGCGAAAGCAACGAAACGACGTGCCGCTGTGTGGTCGTCACACTATGTCAACCCCAGACTCTGCGTTCCTGCTCACGGCTCCCATCCACCTCCCTGGTGGACCCCAAATAAGAGACACCTGAGTGGGCAGCCCCCGGCCGGGGAGGTGGGTTTCGATAGGACAATTAAAAAGGTTAGCGTTTCCATGATTAGTTTATGCTTCACCCCACGTTTCAGTTAAAGATTAAGTCTTTGCAGCAGATTTTAGCTCAAAGGCAGGTTGGGGAGGGAGGTGGGCTATTTTCTTTCTTTTAAACCAAACAACCCCTCGTAGATAGAGTTGGTTTATTTTTAACAGGGACAGAAGCACTGTGGGAAGCTGGTTTCTAGATTTAATTTCAGCTGCAAATGAAAGATGCAGCCTGGATTGTCCGTAATGAAAAGAGTGTGCCGGGTGGGGGGCTCTGAGAGGGGGACAGTTCCCCCAGCACGGCAACCCCAGCTGCAGGGGGGGCTGCAGCCTTCTCTCTGGCCTCACCTCTAGGCAGGGGGTGCAGGGGGGACCAGTGCACATAAAGTGGTCCCTATCTTCACAGAGGGCATCCGCTAGGAGAGACAGAGGCAGAAACAACTAAGAGAAGCCCAGGCGGCAATAAACACAATAAGTGACATCCAGGAATGACAGGTACGAGCTTAGGTTAAGGCGGTCCTGGAGGGAATGACCGGTCCTGGAGGGAATGACCGATTCCCGCAGAGGCCGAGAGGCGGGCAGGGCTTTGAGGAACGAACAGGTGGAAAAGGGGTGATGTCTCCAACAGTGGGAGGAGGTTACGTTTCAGATGCACCTGCAGGAGTTGGGCAGGGAGACGGGAGACCTAGAGCAAATCTTCCAACAGCCCAAATGAAAGAAATAAGGAGCACGTCTGCGTAAACGAACGGGAAGAATCTCCAGGACCGCCTGTCGGCCGGAAAAACAAGATGCAAAAACAGACTGTGTTAAAAGCAAGTTTAGGAAATAAATTATGTATAAGGATGCCATGAAAATTTGGGGAAAATACATTTCTATATAGTCTGTAAATGTATTGTTAAAAGGCCTCCATGTGTATACTCGAACCAATAATGGTCTTTAGGATGGGACAAGAGGGATTTGGGTTTCGGGTTGGAGGTCAGAGTGGACTTTAGTCTTTTTCTGTAATTTCTTTTTCGTTAAGAATATATTCCGTGTTACCTATGTAATTAAAAATATATTTAAAATTCTAATTAACTATCGATTGACTTTTCATCATAACACGCGGCACTCGGGGATATTACGTGTTGCGCGTCTAGCTTTGGTATTTCACAGCCAAGTGGATTCTGGAGAAACAGAATTACTGATCCGTAAAACCTGCAGTTCACCTCTTCTCGTTCCTGTTTCACAAACGAGGAAATGTGGGTTTCCCGTGGTCTTGCTGTTGATAGGCACAGGATGAAGTATGGAAAATAATTCATGGCAAAGTCACTGCGGCCTTTACATTTTTTCAGATAACTCTGAAAAACTAAAGTGATTTTTTTTTTTTGTCACCCACATTCATTGGCCCAGCCACAAAACAGATTTCCTCCGAAGAGGGTTCACTCCCGGGCAAACGACATTGGAGTGTGACACCAGCCGGAGCACTGGGTTGGGAGTCAAGAGACTTAAATCCCACCCAGAGGCCACCCCGTGACCTTGGCATAAGCCAGTCTCTAGGGACCTCAGCACCCTCCTCGGGGCACCAGGGATTCTCCAAGCCCTCCGGAAATCGGATTATTGACAACACAGGAGGAAGACTTGTGTCTGAGAGGTCTGAATGTGAGCCCCCCAAAATGTGCTTCACTTAAGTCTCGCAGGAGGTAACTAGAAACCCAGGAGGTAACTAGAACCCCTTTGGTGGGGCTGAACGACAAAAGGACAGACAGTAAGGCCTTCTTTGGAGAATATGGGTTGAAAGGGAAATCAATATTTTGGCTAAAGAAAATATTTGAGTTATGAAATAAATATATTTGTCTAGAGATTTTTAAAATGTGTTTGTTTGTTTTTTTTCCTTCCTCAAAATAGTCACAGCTGGTCGTCCGGCCACGTAAAGTTACTATGCTATCAAATGACTCAACTTGCAACATCTGTATTGGTGATTGACACGTCTTGGGAAGAGCTATCTAACTCTTGGAGTCCCGACACCCCTGTTGGATTCAGGTTTATTTTACCAGCACCAAGAGACTCCAGCGTGTAACATCTGCGGTCCCGCTCCTGAAATTCCTGGCCATAAAACAAGTAAATTCAGCGTGGGCTGACATTCCAGAGCACAGCGAGGACGGAGAGAGAACCTTCCCTCAGCAAGTGCCGGAAGAGGAGCAGGAGAGGCAGGACTGTCCCGCTGGACAGAGAGTGGCAGGACTGTCCACCAGGGCAGCGGCTGCTCTGCTGCCACCAGGTTGATGAGATGGAGCATGGATGATTGTTAACCCGCTGAACCCCCTCGCCAGGGCCCTCTGCAAGCCAAACACCCCACGTGCTGGTAGATGTTCCCCGCTTACAATCACGGGCTCAGCCTCCGTGTCCAGCACCAAGAGATAAAGTAAGGCCACCCACGCTCTGGACGGGCACGGAGCTATTGAGGCGATGGTCATGTAGACTTTGTGCCAATGTGGGAAAGTGCTGACGATGAGACTATTCGAGAGAAATTGAGCAAAAGGGCGGCAACGACACCTCAGCAATCACTGGTGTGACCCGACCGTCCCATGCAGCTGAGGGCCAGAGCCGAGCACGGAAAAACAGCAATAGCTGAGTTCACCAGAGTGAAGTGGTTTTCATGCTATGAATGGAAATTAATAATTTCAAAGACATAGACCGCACTCGGTGGCTCACGCCTGTAATCTTAGCACTCTGGGAGGCCGAGGTGGGTGGGTCATTGGAGCTCAGGAGTTCGAAACCAGCCTGAGCAAGAGTGAGACCCCGTCTCTACTATAAATAGAAAGAAATTAATTGGTCAACTGAAAATATATAGAAAAAATCAGCCGGGCATGGTGGCACATGCCTGTAGCCCCAGCTACTCGGGAGGCTGAGGCAGGAGGATCGCTTGAGCCCAGGAGTTTGAGGTTGCTGTGAGCTAGGCTGATGCCACGGCACTCTAGCCCGGGCGACAGAGTGAGACTCTGTCTTAGGAAAAAAAAATTTTTCGAAGACATAATCCCTGCTTTTTAGGGGAGTCCCAGCGTAGGTGTGGGGGTGGTAGCTGCACGCAGCACAAGGTTCAGCGAGCAGGGGGGATGGAAGCCCGGGACAGCCCCCGTGGGAGCTGAGCGAGGCCTTGAACTTCAAAGCTCTTTGACAAGGACAGGACGATGAAAACACAGGGCTTCGGGTCACTCCCAGCGCCACATCATCAGCGTGGCTGACACCCAGAGACAGTTCAAGTTGCTCCTCCACATCGACGTGCTTTGGGCTTCGGGTGAAAATGCATCCGAGAGAGGCTGGGGTGACGATCGCCACGGCACCCTCCCACCAAGAGGACGACACACAGACTCCTTCCCAGCCGGGCAAAAGCTCCGACATTCTACACCCGGAGCAAGAGCCTCTAAATTATTTGCCACCGCCGGCCCCGCCAGCTCTGGGTTCCTTCCCACGCTCGGGGCCGGTGTCAGTCTCAGGCTGTGTGAAGGGGCCCTGTCCTCGCCTCTTACATCTCAACAATGTGACACAACTGTCACAGGAGCTGGACGCGTCTCCCCAGCCATACCGAGAGGAAACGCGGTCGCCCTGCTCCCTGGTGACGGCGTGGCTTAACTGTCGCAAGCCAGGAAGGGTAGTGGCGAGCCGTGGATCTTGCTGTCCACGTAGGGCCCCAGACATGCGATTGACGCAGGAGGGAAAGGAGAGGTGGAGACGATGGACTGTGTCCAAAACGTGGGACCACAGTTAAATTACGGCGCATTGATTCAACGGAAAATCTCTTATCTGTGTTTGAAAACGAGTATTGTATAAAAGACCACACGGCAATGGAGGAAAGTATACGATACAACCCTAAGTGCGAAAAATTACTGTACGAAATGGTAAGTTAGTGATGATTACACATATGAAAAGATACATTTAAAGACTGGAAAAGAATGCTAATGTATATGCGTACTTACTTATACACATCTAAATTATACATCTATGTATATTCACGAGCTTCATTCTAGAAAGGAAACGAACAGGTGCGGTGAGGGAGAGAAGGGGGTCTGCCAAGTCTCTCTGGGCAGGTGACTTAGTTGATTTCAGGCACGGTGGGATCATGGGGAATTTTTTCCCTATTGCCAATAATTTCTATAACATCATATATAATATTTAATAAAAAATTATTATCTGAAAGACCATGAATTTTGTCTTTCTTGGCTGACACTTTCTGCAGTTCGAATGGACATGCTAAGCTCTCGGGTTTGCAGCCAACCTGCCCCGGGGGCTGGCTGGAGGCGAACCTGCGTGAAAGGAGCAAGACGGGGACACCTGTCCTTCCCGTCACACCTTCTCTGCATGTTCTCCTGGGTAGGAGGAGGGCAGCCCTGCTGTGCTGCGCAGAACCCTGGCTCTGCACTTAAGCAGACAGAAAAAAATGTATCAGAAAATCTCGGCAGAGCTTGTGAGTTTGGGGTCCAGTGGCATTTGCGGCACCCGAGGACCTGCCCAGGTGAGGCCAGGGGACACGGCGGGGGGCTGAGGACAAGAGTCAGGGCCAGACGGTCCACCCAACCTCATGGTATGGCATGCTCTCTGCTTGTATCAGGTGAAGCTGAAATCAACTTATTCTCGTTTTAAAAACGACTTCACTGCACTACATTTCAGTGTTGTGTTCCTGGCTTTGACCTTGTGCACTAAAGAGGCAGCTCAGTGAGGAATGTCCCTAATCACCTGTGAGTTGTTAAAGAAGCTGCTCATTATTTTGTTTGATGTCATTTGTCCATGGGAAAAATTATTTTTATAATTCCAATGCCAGTAAAGCTCATATTTCCTAACGACAATTTTTTTTAACTTTTTTTTTTCACTTTTGCTTCGGCAGCCAGAAAGCTCTGAGTTAAATTTTGTGTTTAATTATACTACCCACATTAATATATGTTTATTGAATGTTCGTTCCTCCCTCCCACCAGCCATCCTTCTACATGTTAAAAAACGTTTTCTCTGTTATTCGACAGACTTTCTATTTTATTGTAAACTGCCTCAAGTTCTTTTTAGGAGTAGACAAGATACAAGTAAACCTGCAAATCTTGCGGCTGTTGACCGTTGGTAGAGACACACTCGCTCACCTTAAACCAGCTTGCCATTTTGCATAACTAAAAACAAAACTGCAGCCAGAAAAATCCAGGACCTGAGGCTTTCTTCTATAAGACAACTGCGCTGAATTCTTCACAAAGTCATAACATAAAAGTCTGGGAGACTGTTCTAGATTAAAAGAGATAAAAAGACATAACAACCAAGATACTGACCTTAGATCGGAGAGTTACAAAAGATGTTTTTGATGCAATTGGGAAATTTGAATATGGACTGGATACTCAATGATGTTTAAGTGAATTTCATTAGGTGTGATGATAATGTTGCAGGTATATAGAGAACGTCCCTGGTAGGTGCCTAATGAAATGTTTGTAGTGAAGTATCATGATTGTTTACAATTTACGTTCGAATGGTTAAGACCGAACAAACTGCAATGTGTATGTGTGTGCATGTGCAAGGAAAGAGAAAAAATACGGCAAAATACAGAGAACTGTTAGATCCAAGCAGGCAGTGCACAGTTGCTAGTTGTATTATTCTTTGATCTGTGCCGCATGTTCGAGAATTTTCACAGTAGGTTGGATGGAGGTATATGAGAGTCTAACTCTCACAGATCCACCAAAAACATGTTGGATCTGATGGCAAATTATTTTCGGGACCCCCAGGTGTGCCCCTAAACAACCCGAGTGGTTGGGGTCAATGTTAATGGGTTTCAAGGAACAGTCATAAAACTTAGCAAGAAAAAAGAGAAAAACAATCACCACCACCCCCGTTTTACTGCTGTCATACTCCGGACGCGCGCGGCAGGAAGGGACCGAGTTTCAGAGGTTCAGGGAGGTGCTGCCCAGAGCCCACTGGCAGTGAGGAAGAAATAGGTTTGATAAAGGCAACTTCAGGATGAACTGTAGCATCCCGAGCCTCCTATTTCCTTCCATCGACTGGGCAGGGTTATCGCACGGCT